GGAAAATAGGGAGACAAAACGGAGGAAAGAAGAGCGTACTCGCTGATCTTCAAAGATACACGGACTCGGAGTCCCCGCTCGATTGATAGGGCGCAATATATATAATAATAATAAAAATAATAATAATAATAATAATATTTTCGATCAGATTTTATTGCTCCACTGCATTGGTGAATACTCGAGGTACAGCCCTCAGCGATCCCCTGACATTACTCTTTCTCATTATGTGAAGAGTAATTGAGTCGCTGCTCACAACAGAAAAAGGGGGTATGGCTGATAATCTTCTCATACACCAGCGAAGGAGCAATATTCCTTTTGGTTCATTTGGGGGGAAACCCAGCCCGCATCGAGCAAGAGCGAACGGCATGGAAGTGTACCCATCCCTATTACCTGGCCATCGATACACCCAAGTGGGTAGCTCTCATGGAAGACCTTGGGTGGAGGGGACACGAACGGGTCTACGTGTGCATCCAAATTTATGTCATATTAATTTCTTTACTCGAGACAGCGCACGGACCTGGCCAGCACCTTGTGTCATGATGGAGTATACAAAGCTTACCAAACGCCGGGGGAGAGTGAGAGAGAGAGAACAACGAGAGTGAGAGAGAGAGAACAGCAAGAGTGAGAGAGAGAGAACAGCGACAGAGAGTGAGAGAGAAGAGCGAGAGAGAGAGAACAGAGAGAGAGATAGAAAGAGAATCGGGGGGGGCACATCCAAGGTTGACTCCGAAAACTCGCTGCTGCGCCCGTAGCTAATTTGCCAGTTGACTGTTGAAGCTCACTGTTGCGTGAACTCGCTGAACTGTCGATTGGCTGTTGAAACTCACTCTTGCTTGAACTTGCTGAGTTACTAGCCAGCTATTGAAACTCACCGTTGCGTGAACTCGCTGAACTGTTGATTAGCTGTTAAACCAGTCGGTTGTTGAAACTTACGGTTGTGTGAACTTGTGGTATTACCAGTTGACCGTCGAAACCCCTTGTTGTGTGAAGTTGCTAAATTACAAAAAGAAAGAAAAAGAAAATTGGAAGCGTGATAGGACGCCGCAAGTTTCGATTCCTGCTGGTCGCCGAGGACCTCAGAAGCGGGCGTGGCGGGTGACAGACGCCGTTGCCCTTGGCTTCGGCGAACGGTAGGCGCCCCTCCCCGGGTTTCCTCACACCGGGCTATCATAACTCCAGCACCCCACACCCTCCTTCATAAACATTGCCATCAACACTTGCCCTTCTTTTCTTTTTTTTTTTTCTCTTTTTTTCTTTTTTAAACAGAACCTTATGGTTATGCCTCCTTGTCCATTCTGGGGAGTGTCAATCAGGTTCCTATTCCACCAGCAAGTCAGAAGGGAATACAAAAACTGACTCATGCTCCTTCACCTTATGGTATGAAGGCCCAAGGGGCGACATTGATTAGCTCCTGGTGGAAGGATGTACCCCCCTTCACCCCTGCCTAAGTTAGCCTGTACTACCTTGTATCTATCATTGGGTAATGGTCTGATTGTCTAATCTCTTCAGTACTTGTAACTAGCCTCCTTGGGGTCTAGCCAGCCTGTTCCTCTCAGCCCTTTGGCTGTCGGATTTTCTATGTTTGCTAGAACTGCTAGAACTGTGGGTGCAGTCCCTTACCATGATTCTTGATCAAAACTTACTCTTTGTTCTACTAGGTTGGTACTAACTTTGTTGGAAGCCTTAACCCTTGGGTTTGTCTTCCCCCTTCTTTACGTACTTGATGTTACCGTTGCTATTGGCTTAAGCCTTGGCAAACCAAGGATTGAATATATGGCTACTTGCTGACATCGATTCTTGAACCCTAAACCCTGGTGAGCCTTTAACTGCGGACTCGATGTTGTCTGTTGATGAGAGAGGTTAAGATTTTTGTAAGTGATGGGGGTCGAGCTGAGTGGGGTGTATGAACTGTTGGTGTTTTGTGCTAATTTATAGAGATGGATCTAGGTGCCTATGGAGGGTCGTTGTCTGTCGCGATCAGAGGGTGGGATGGTGTAAGAGGTGCGTGCAGTGCCTTTTGGGGATCAACACTGCCTTTCAAAAAGTCAATGCTCACAAATTCACCACCTCGATAGGCATGCTCATATCCAACAAACACCGAGATTTGACCTAGGGCCTTAGGGGAGGGGAAAAGGAATTTCACTGATGAACTGCTTATGCGTCCACTGACTTGATAAATTTGCTCATAAAGCCTCATATTAAGAAAAAACATGAATATTTCACCTAGGGAAAAAAAAGAACACTTCTCACTCCAAACTGCACGGACAATCCAATGGGAATCTCACAGAGTTGAGCACCCACACACACCTGTGACCACACACATGCACCGATATGCAGACACACACGCACACACACACACATGGAAAAACGGGGTAGCTTCTAGGGTGTTTTAAGCAGTAGAGCTCCTGGTGTCACGTGGAGATCTTGTGGAATTTGGCATAGCACTTGTAGTGGCCTCGCTGTACCACTAGGATATCGTCTAATTCTGCAGGTTGTGCGGCAAGGGGAGGTTCATGGCCTTCTTGGTGTTGCTCACAGGTCTGCGGTGTATTTTTGATTTGTGGTGGTGTTGTAGGCCATGCCGCATTCCGGATAATCCAGCAATTTGGTGTGCAAGGTGTAATCATATCATTTATACATGATTCTCCAATCATTTGCGTACTTGAACGCAAACTAATACTACACAATTCATGTTGTTTCAAGAACTCTGACAGCAGAGCATCTTAAGAACTCATGAGATCTGAAATTTATGGACTATTCCCTTGCTACTGGCTTAAACCTTGGCAAACCTAGGATTGAATATATTGCTACTTGCTGACGTCGATTCTTAAACCCTAAACCCTGGTGAGCCTTTAACTGCGGACTCGATGTTGTCTGTTGATGAGAGAGCTTAAGGTTTTTGTGTAAGTGTCGCATACCGTAAAGGTGCAAACCAGAACAAGAACCGACCTCTCTCACATAGTGCAAGATAGCGCAGCGGAAGGCTAACATACCAATGATCCAAACAATCAATGTTGCAATGCAGACCGAACATACAACATCATCACTCCATGGTGTGAAGGGGGCTGGCGCTCACAAAGAATGCGCCAGTCCCCACTGCGAATGGGAATGTCGTCAACACCAAGTCTTCGGTACAGGTCCCAAATAATCCCTCGTCAAATGTCTGAATCCCAATGTTGAGTCTGAACCCAAATGTCGTCAAGTCCCAAAGTCACCAATCTCTCTCTCTCTCTCTCTCTCTCTCTCTCTCTCTCTCTCTCTCTCTCTCTCTCTCT